CCACAATATGAGAACATCAGTGTGGAGAACCGAGCAGGAACCGAGGAGCTGAAACGTTACCTTGAAGTGGTCGGTCAGTGTGCGGGAATACTTCAGCGCAGAGTCTCTCTTACAGCGGAACATCGCCATCTGCAGGAGAGCCTGGCAGCGCATACTGCACACACACACACACACACACACAATTAGACTCTGAACAGCAACGAGACACACTTCACATACAGACAATAGCAAAAATGAACACCAGATTTGCTCAAATATAAATGTCAACTCACATCTGCATCACTTTTATACCATATATACTATACACACTATATACTGCATGTGTGTATACACCATTCTTATACTATATATTATACTATAAACACACTCTGGTCCTGTACCTTTACTGCACTGTGCACTGCTGTCTGATTTTTGGTCCATTCAACATGAAAATTTCACACAAATAACTAGGAAACAGGATTTTCTCACAAACAAGACAAATTAAAATGACATTTTCCAATTCAAAGGACTAAATTCTCATTTAAATTCTCACCGCAACAGTAAGATGAAGATAAACATGTAAATAATAATAACTTTCCTCTTCACAGTTTGCACTCAGTTGCTGGATTAAGAGTTTTAAAGCTTTAAAACTGTTAAAGTATATTTATTTAGTAAAATACTGATCTGCAATTTTATCTCATTGCTGCAACACACCGACCGACACTCCCACTGAGGTTTTACTTGTGCCACAAATATCGTGTTTTTTTGAAGAGACTCAGTAAAACTTTTGCTGCACCATAAAGAGCTTCAACTAATCTACTACATTATATTAATTATTACTGTCAACAGCTGACGAAAAATACAAGTTTTGATTTGACCGTCTGTGATGTCATATATCTGCCATTTCAGCTTACAGAGTTAAGCCACGCCCATTCACGCCAAATTATAAGGAGGGTTTCAGCGCTAACTCCTTTTAGAATAAAGCACAGTGCAGGACAGTCAATCAGAAGAGCGCTCATTTACATATATCAGTCTTAAAGGCTCAGTAACAGTAACAGCCTGTTTAACTGTGAGGGATAAAGCGAGGCTGGAGAAGATCATATATAAATGAATGACGACTCATTTTGGAACATAAAACCTCAGTGCTGTAAGTGGAGATGACTGATAAAGACACAATTAACCGACAGATTCAGGCCCTTCAGAGCAGCTCATTATAGAGACCGTCCGGATACTTTTAGACAGTGTTGGATCTTGTCTGTTAAACAGACTCTGAGTCTAAAACGCAGAATGAGCTCTGTGGTTGTGTTGAGCTTCCGTTTCTGAGACCCACCAGAGGACGAGGAAGTCGCGCTCAGATGCCGGAGCTGACGGGTCCAAGTAGTTCTTCAGTTTCAGGATGAATCTGTGAGAGAAAAGAGATCAGACGGTTAACAAAGACACACGAAGAACACGGCACAGATCAGACAGTTAACAGAGACACACAAGGAACACGGCACAGATCAGATGGTTAACAGAGACACAGAGAACACAGCACAGATCAGACAGTTAAGAGACACACAGGGAACACGGCACAGATCAGACGGTTAACAGAGACACAGAGAACGCGGCACAGATCAGACAGTTAACAGAGACACAGAGAACGCGGCACAGATCAGACAGTTAACAGAGACACACAGGGAACACGGCACAGATCAGACAGTTAACAGAGACACACAGAGAACACGGCACAGATCAGACAGTTAACAGACACAGAGAACGCGGCACAGATCAGACAGTTCACAGAGACACACAGAGAACACGGACACAGACAGACAGACACACACACAGACAGACAGACACAGACAGACACACACACAGACAGACAGACACAGACAGACAGACACAGACAGACACACACACAGACAGACAGACACAGACAGACACACACACAGAACTCTCACCTGATCAGATCTACAGTTTCAGAGAACATGGTGTACGCAGACTTGGGCGTGTGGGGATCCGTCTCCATGGCGATGCCGCTCTCCACAAAGGACATGGCAGCATCCAGGTAGCTCAAGCCTTTTCCCATTTTATCCAGCTGAGGAGACGAGAGGCAGCAGGATGAGGGACCAGGGAAGAACACAGCTCTGACTCATTTAGACATTTAATTCTCTAAAATACTTAAAATAAACATATTCCCACAGTAATTAACCCTGCACACAGTCTAGTCTCACTAAATTAACAACAACAACAGCATTTTTCACCACAATTTCTATTAATTCGCTGAGTGTAACAAACTGGAAATTAAATATACTACATATTTATACACTGTGCTCTAAACCACATCAACAACATCAACGTCTGCGCCACCTTAATGGAGAGCTGGATGTGGTTTGATCTCACTGAGAGAAGTTTTGGGGATGCATTTATGGAAAAGATTTGGGTGACCATTGACTTCTAGTGTGTGTTAGCAATGTTAGCCTCACAGTTCCAGTGCTAAAACTAAAGCAGCAAAATTTGGACTCAATTCTGTAAATTAGATTTTTCACCAAGCTGTACCTTTGACCAAATATCTGATTACTCATAAAGCACAGCTTGACCAAGAGTTAAAACTACAAAACAGTCTGATGTTTAAAAACTGACTAAACTCAGCATCCAAACTGGCGTCCTCTGTGCTCTGACGGCTTCCTCCACATTAGCCCTTTAATCTGAATAATATCTTCAGGTTTAACTCAAATTACTCCTGCAAACTCAGTGACAAGGAAGAGTATCGTTCACAGAGTCTTATTAAAATATGAATATAATGTACAGAAGGTCACAGAGACGAAGTGAGGCTTACATAGAAAACATTAAATACAAATTCCTTTTTATAAATAATGTTTAGATACTTCATTATGACAGTATAACACACACAGAGCTCTCGCTCCTTTTCAGCAGCGTTCTGTGTGTAATCAGTGATGGAAGATGTGATAAAGAGGCGAGAGAGAGAGAGAGAGAGAGAGAGAGATTGAGATTACAGGACCGAAGGAGAGAGGAGTAAAAACATTACCGTGGCATCGGCTTTGTGCTTTAGCTTTTTGGCTTCCTTCATGTGGTGATCCACAGAGAACTGCCTGAAAACAACAGTGAAATAAAATGTTGAGAATCTCAGCAGCAGAACAGCATCAGGTCTCCATTCATCACTGCTGTTATGACTGAGCTACTGATCACTATTCTATGACAATTTATATCATTATCGTGACAAATTATGTCACAGTACAATACAATATGCCTTTCTGATCATATCATGCATATCGTCAGTACTTACAGACACTAACCAACTGCATGTTTCATTATAAAGAGAGCAAAATTATTTTTCTGTTTAACTGGATTTAGTGCCAAATACGGAATAAAAATCACTGTGTTCAAGTTTTTAATATATGTATATTATTAAATGTAGCACTGCTGGTTCTTTTCTCTCTGTTCCAACTGATGAGATGTCTGAAAAAATAAATACTGTGACACATCATGTACTCTGAAAACTTCCTGACGTACTGTGATATCAGATCTTTGCTGTATCACCCAGCTGAAGGTCAAATACACTGCAGCTCTAAAAGAGGCTCCTCTAAAACCAACATTCTCCACCAAGTGAAAAATAACCTTATATCAGAGCCCGACTGATTTATCAGTTAGCTGATAATATCGTTGATACTGACTATTCACATTTTTAAAGTATCAGTGAAAATATATTATCAATAATCTTGCAGATAATTAGAAATTTCTCCCAATGACGGGGCTTATAACCTTAAACAGTTACGTAACACAAAAATAACCTTTTAATTAATAATTAGGATCATAAGACACAGAAACCAGAACTTTTAGACCCTTAAAATCAACATCAGCCACATTTTCATTGGACCTTTTGGACCTCATCACACTCCGACTCATACATTGCTCGTTTTTCACATGTTAATCACCACCATAATATCGTCAAGTATCTGATGGATTCTGTGTGATTTATTCTCACCTGTCCTCAAACTTCAGCAGCGGTCTGTGCGTCGCTGGGGCTGTACAGGAAGTGGGGGTCTCTGAGGAGCTTACGTTGCTTTTTGGTGGCTTCTGTAACACAGAGGGAAAAAATAAAGACCTTAAAAAGGAAAGACAGCAGAACTCATACAGAACACAACACATTCAAGCTGCACAGAAGAACTGCACACAGCTGTTCTCCTACTAACCCTCACTGTGTATAGATTGGCAACATTACAGGGGAATTCTACTGATTCTTCAGTACACCTGCATAATTAGGTGGATAAGATGTAAACAGAGCGGTTCAGAGTGGTTTGGTGTGAAACGCTCTGTTCTAGAGAAACATACCGAGTCAGAACTGTTCACAGTGGTGGTGATAGGAACCAGACGTCCACCTCTAAAAGCTCCCTCACAGAAAGTTCCTACATGAAATGGTTATGAATTCACTGCCTGATGACTGAGACACTGTTTTATGATAGTTTAGAGAACTTAAACTCCATTCATGGTGGAGGGATACACGCAGGGCGCTGTGAGGCAAAATAGTCCCCAAAGAAAACTTATTATTTCAGATTTTCCACTATTTTCCATCATCAATATTCATATAAACTCAGAAGACTCGTGTAGGTTCACTGGTGGTTCTGGATAGTAAATAAAATGTCTATATTTGTGTTGTAGTCATGGCGACCCCTGGTTCCCATCACCACCACTGTAAAGACATCTGAACCATTTCACACCAAACCGCTCTGAATCTCTCTGTTTACATCTCACACACTGAATCATGGGGGAATTTTGAAAAATTAATTTAAATTGGATGTTATTGTTGAACATAAGTAATGTCTGACAGAGAGATAACCCGTCCTTTCCATTTTTCTTATGCATCATTTTGATTCATTATGTAATCCATTAACTACAACTAAATAACAGCAGTATATCTTAACTCTAAGCTAAAGCCGCTCTGTACCTTCTCACTCTTGCTGTGCTCCTGCCTGCTGGAGCTCCTCTTCTTGTGCTTGCTGCCGGAGCCGCTCTCCTCCGGTTCCCCACTGCGGCGCTTGTGTCCCGAAACCTTCGGCTGCTCCTGAGACGAGTGAGGAGGAGGAGGAGGAGGAGGAGGAGGAGGAAGGACCTTCTTACTGCTCTTCTTCTCCTTGGCCTCAGTGATGGTCCTGGGGGCGCTGTGACGGCAGGAGGACGAGTGCATGGTCAGGACGGAGCAGGTGGACTACATGAGCTACTGCTGCTTCTGGAATAACAGGGACTTTCCATCCTGACATATAGACCTGCCTGGAGGCCCATCCCTCAACCGTGTAACCCCCTCAGGAGATCCAGACGGCCTTCAGAAACCACCGCACTACTGTACTAATGAACAGTGAAAAGCACCAGTACCAACCACAAAAACACGGCCTGTTAGTTAAACGGCTCAGACGCTCGAAAAGGGTTTACTACGGAAACAGTGAGTTTTAAGGCAAACCAACTGCACGTTGAAACAAACTGAGCTGCAGATATGGCTCGTTTTGTATTCACTGTTTTTGTGATGTCACAAAAACAACTGCCTATGCTTCTAGCAGTTTAGCTCCGCCCATTCACGCTGAAGTTATAAGGAGTGATTTAGCCTCTTCTGCTCTTTAAATGAAGTACAATACAGGGCAGCCTATCAGAAGAGAGCTCATTTACATAAACGCACAGTAACAAAAACAGCCTGTTTTACTGTCAGGCAGTGGTTCCCACCCTGGACCTGCGCATTTTTCTGTTTTCCTGACAAAACACTCCGACTTCAACTCAGGAGGGGTCTGATAATGAGCTGATCTGTTGGATCAGGTGTGTTGGAAACAGGGCGGACACTAAATCATGCAGAGCAGGAGGTCATCCAGGACCTGGGCTGGGAACCACTGCTGTGAGGCATTATTAATATAAATTAAAAATCAAACTTTTAAATGTTTTTTGTACACAAACATCAACAAAAAAGCAAAGAAAAACGTAGGATATGGCCAATTCAGAAAGAATGCAAATGAGGACCAGTTAGCAAATGCTAACCCTTCAGTAGTAGCCAAACACTATGTGGTGTATCAGCAGGCCTGAGTGAAGCATTTCTTTAAAAGACACCTCAAAGCAATAATGGGGTTAAACATGACTGAAAACACCACCACAGCTACTTCACTGCAGCCACACTACAGTGCAGATTAGTGGTATCTATCTATTATCTATCTATCTGCTTTTATTAATGGTTTATTTTGGTGCACTTACTAATGAAGCACTTTAATCTGCATTTAAATGCAGCATGTAAATAAATACGTCAATCTGTTTATTGATAAAGCTGTTTTAAAGCCATATTTTAGGTTTTAATTAGCAATACACTGATAGGGGAACAGCGGCTGATAACAGATACACATCTGCACACATCAAAACACAAACATTACTAAAAAAAAACAGAAACTGGGACTAAATCTACCTGCATCAGCATTACAGAGTAATATTTATTTCTGTTGGGTTATAAATGCAGTAAAATTAATAAAGAGCAGATATTTCAGTGCAGTAACCCAGCATCACCTGAACACTCTGTTCAATAAACACATCAGTCTGAAATATCAATCAAATCTGAAATCATTTTTACAGTAAATATCTGCTGATACTGATATGACTGTTATAGCTTCGTTACTGAAGTGTGAGACTCACTCTGTTTTGGAGCCGTGCTGAGAGGATGAGGACGTCCGGCTCTCCTTCTCCAGCTTTGGTTTCTTCTTTGGCACAGACGGCTCGGCCTTCTCAGCCTGAGAACACGAGCAGAGTCATCTTCAAACGTGGGTCACACAGCGTCTCTCACGCTGGGCTCATTACTGACCGGTCACTCCCACAGACGCGTACAGTGACGCGAGTATGAAACAGCGTTAGATTTAAACGATTACACTAAACTGTGCTCAGCTGAAATCTCTCCAGAATTCAGGCTTCAGTCAATCAGTGAAGGACTGTCACTGAACTCCGACAGGAGAACTCAGTGAGTCGACATGGGAGAAACTGAGCAAGTGAGCGGGCGAGTGAGGGAGAGAGAGAAAATTGGCTTGGCTTCTTATCAAGTCAGATGATCAAAACAGCCTCTCAAACGAGAGAAACTGGAATAAAAATAACATCAACAACCATCTACAGTGCTGTGAAAAAGTCAGAGACCCTTCACGTGTTTCAATGTCTGTTTTGACTGGAAATAAGTACAAACGATAGTTCTTCCAGGAGATCTGTGAGCAGATCAGACAGACAGAATAGTCCACCTGAATGATAAGGGAGAAAGTCAAAGGAAAATAACTGAGTTTCCAAAACTGGAGCTCAAAAGCCACAGAGATCTGGACAATCAGCAGACGCAGCAGTTACTGTGGAACTGAACAGCAGATAGTATCAGACATGATTATGAGAATCTGCAGAGCTGCCAAAATAAAGAGGAGCTGCCAGTGGTTTCCCACACGGCAGAGTCTCTCACTCACACACACACACACACACACACACACACAAACTAACAAACAAATAAACAAACAAACAAACAAACAACACAAAAACGCGAACAACTGACCAAACACATCAGGTGCGAAGCTCAATAAAAACATGGTTTTAATTATATATTAATTTTATATTTTGATATTCGATTTTTCATGTGAGTTTACTAATAATCAATTAATCAGCTTAAATGTGGCCTGTAAATGGGTGGAAAATTGAAAAATTTACTAAAAAATCCAACAAGGCGATTTAAGATTTTAATTTTTTTTTTTTAATTTTTACCCGATTTTCTCCCCAATTTAGTCGTCTCCAATTCCACCCGCTAGTTAGGACTCCCCCAGTCACACGATGCTATAAACGCTAGGAGGGTGAAGGCTAACACAGGCTTCCTCCGAGACCTGTGAAGCGCCACCGCTTCTTTTCGAGCTGCCGCTCACGCAACGTCACTGGACAGCCGAACGCGCTCGGAGGAAAGCGCCAACCGCCAGATCTGTTACGTCAGCTAACAGACGCCTGCGCTGACTAGCATCGCGCTGAGTGATGGGGGGAGAGGGAGGGGCCATCCTACCCACCCAGAGAGAGCGAGGCCAATTGTGCTCTCTCGGACTCCCGGCTACGGACGGCTGTAGCATCACCAGGGATCGAACTCGCGATCTCCTGATGAGGGACAACGCTTAGACGGTTGCGCCACTCAGGAGCTAAGATTTTAATTTTAATATTCCTGTGTCCACTAGATGACTACACACCTCTACAGTCATGTGGTCATGCCCATATAAGGACTTCCGGATCTAAGCTATTTGTCTCTAGGGGGAAAAGCTCCTCTCTCTCTGTGGTAAACAAATATGCTCCAAAACTGATACATTTCGTCTTAGACACACTTTTCCTTTGAACATCACTGGATCTTCTGGATTACGAGCTCATTAAAGAGCCATTTGCATGAAACTGTATAATTTTTGGCTTTTTTTCCTGTTTTTTTGTGTTGTTTCAATACACACAGAGGAAATAAACATGTGTATAACAAAACATGTGTAATTGCAATAATTTTCTGGGAGAAATACTTAATTTGCTGGAGTTTTGTATTAAACTCACTTTCGTGCAAAGTCAGTTTTGCGTGCAGGAGTGTCATCTTTCTTGTAGCATGAAATTTAACTGATAAAAGACCAGAAGATCTGGTGATATTTGGGGATTGTATTAATTATCAGAGCGATTATTCTCAAAAATCTCATTCTTCTTTCCCACAGAAATCTGACAGAATGACAAACCACTTCAGAGGTCAGTTCTGCTCTTTAGCCTCTTCAGGCACGAAGCAGCGCAGATAAAAAACCTCAACAACAAATCAAATATGAGCACTTACTGAAGGGATGAAGGTTGGTGAGAAAAATTGATTCCAATTTTCCACTTACCCCACTTAGTCAATCGGTCGAGATGATGTCTAAAATCCAAATTTTAGGTTAGAACTGGAGCGGCGAGGCTAACGGCGCTAATAGCTTCCTAAAAGTTCCCGAACTTCGTCCAGTTCTTCATTACGGTGCTGCAGGCGTGTAGAACACAGTGACTTACTGTGAGCGATAAACAAGAAGAAAACAGCAGCTGCTTTTAACAACGGTCTGTATTCACAAACCACACCAGCAGTCGCTGAGCTGATCTAGAGTCAGCACTGGTGACAGTGACAGCTGTACATACGGAGCAGATCCATCCTGCTCTGTGAAGAGCAGCCCTGCTGCCGTCTGAAACAGCTGCGGTGAAGTTCTGTTTGTTTTTATAGCTCACGGTGAGACACACTGAGCTCTACACCACACCTGTAGGTCTGCAGCGCCGTGATAAAGAGGTGGATGGGGTTTGAGAAGTTTTGGGGTGTTTATGAATTTATTTATGAGTTCTAAGGTTTGTTAGCAACAACAGCTCCAGTTCTGAACTAAAGAAGCAAAATTTGGACTCCACACATGTGGCTTACGTGGGAAACTGGGTAAATGTGATTTTTCACCTGTGGGTATCTACTGAAGAGCCCCTCAGCCCTCAGTGGCTCCCTAACAGAGAAGAAAGAGGAACTCACAGGTCGCTTCTTGCCCGCTTTGCCTGCAGAGCCGTGCTCCTTCTCCTTGCTGGACTTCTTCGAGGACCCCTCGCTGGCCTTGGCTGCTTTGGCCAGCGTCGGGACTCTGGAGAGCTGGCTGAGCTCGATCTTCACTACCAGGCTCGGCGGAGGGTCACGGGCCGACCTGGACACCCCCTCTTTCTTCCTGTCTCTGGTGGGCGAGCGAGCGTGGCTCTTTTTCGAGCTCTTTGTGGGCGTGACGGTTTCGGTTTGAACGCTACTTATGATGCTGGTGCTTTTGGGGGGCAGGAAGGCGGAGCGTAAGGCAGCAGGGCTGGGAGGGGGGGCCGGTTCGGCTTCCTTCTCTCCTTCCGTCTCCGTGGCTTTAGGAGCCGCATCCTTCCCTTCCTTTTTGTCTGAGCGGTGCTTGGACGACCTCTTGCCTTCCGATTTGTGGCTGGTTTTCGTTTTGACCTTCGGTCTGTCTGTGAACGTTGAGTCTTTATCGCGCGGGGTCACCTCCACGCTCTCGACCCGCAGGCCGGTGTGGGCCTCCTCCGGCCGGGGGGCTTTGCTGCTCCTCCCCGGCTGTTTGTTTCCCACAGTCTTTCTGTGTCCCGCCTCCGAGGGCTTGGAAACAGGCTTGTGGTTAGCATGTTTGCTAGTGTGTTGGCTCAAGCTGGCAGACTTCGCCTCTGCGTCTGCGTCGGTGTCAGCGGGCTGCGGCGGTGCAGGGGGGCTGTGAGAGCCGTAGTGCCGTCTGTTTTTGGGTTTGGGCTCGTCCTGCGGATGGGTGCGGGGCTGAGGTTTGGCGCTCGGAGCGGTTTTGGCCTCTGGGGTAACTTCGCTGTGACTCTGAGGGTTCAGGCTCTGCTGGCTCTCCTTGATCCACGTGATTAACTGCCAGTTGATGTCTTTGACACCTTCAGCCTGGAGTACAACACACACACACACACACACACACACACACACAGATAAAGACCCAACACACAAACAGAGATAAAGACAGACACAAACAGAGAGAGAGTGAGACACAAACACGGAAAATACAACATAGGCTTCAGACAATTGACGACAGTTTCAATCAGGCTGGACGGCTTAAAATCCTACAATTTTCAAGGCCACTTATGACATTTGTTGGGTTTTATTTTCCAAAAATGGTCATGTAATTTTCAACCAACTGATCAGGCTGTTTTTGTTGCTATGCCTTTACTAAGACTGATATATCATCTGACAAAACCTCAGATTCCCAAAAAAGCAACTGTACAAACGAAGGAAAAATGTTCTTAACCAGGGGTGCCTAATCCTGGTCCTGGAGATCTACCACCCTTTATAATTCAGATCCAACACACCTGGCTCTGCCATTCAGGTGCCTGTGAAGGCCTTCATTACCTGCATCAGGTGTGCTAGATTAGGGTAGGAGCTAAACTCTACAGCGTGGTAGATCTCCAGGACCAGGATTGGGCACCCCTGTTCTTAACTTTCAGTGTAAGTCAAGGTAATAAAAAGTTGGTCTGTTTGTCAGGAAAGTCTGACAGCAGGATTTTTTAAAATTACGTTTTTTAGGTTTTGTTCTGACAGCGACGTTTAGACTGAAACCCCTCTTTTAACTTCAGTGCAAATGGGAGAACAGCAGAATAGTGACCCCCTGTAACAGCAGTTCATGCTACTTGTTATGACTAGAATTGTCAGTGAAGTTTTTCCATTACTTTCCAGATTTTTTTTTTTAAATTTACTTCACTTATAAGTAATAATAATAAATAAAAATAAGACTGAAAATGAAACATGATCAATATTTCCCATTTGATCATTAAAATGAAAGACAAAAATAAAAAAATTTAAATATTTGAGATATTTGATATAATATTCAAAAATTAAAATAATCAGTAGTTGCAGTCTTAATTAAACCGACAGCAAAAACTACTAAACCACACTAAGGACAACCAAACCACAGCAGGAGCGTCAGCGAGCTTATGTTCTGTGGTTTAATCAGAGTTTTACCTGCTGTGCTGTAACAGTTTACTGCATTAAACTATCGCCAAACGATACTATAGTCAATCAGCGATGGCTGGGTGTCGCACTCGGGCGATGATATATTGCACACAATCTCACAGGCACGGAAAATAAAAACCACAACAAACAGATCTGCCAGAGTCTGAGAGGATCCGGAGTCTGAGATGATCCAGACTTCCAGCCAAGAGGCCAATAAAATAACCCATCAGCCAGATTCCTGAACCCAGATTTACCTTATTCCCACACTGAAAAGCTTTCCGATGGTAAATGACCACAGCGCTGTCCTCCGCCAGGCTCAGTCTGAGTCCCGGAAACCAACACACACACACACAAATACTACAAAGCCAAGCTAACAGTGAGGACTGAGGGCTGATCAGTGTGTTCCAGTGATTTGTGTCTGAGGCCTAAAAGCTGCTTGTGTATTTCTCTCTTTCGGGGGCTCTCAGAGCAGAGCCTGAAGAACAGTGTGTCAAATAAATAAATAAATAAATAAACATACACAATTTCTCCTCTGAACACGAGTGTAGTCGATCAGCCAGCTTCTTTAGTTTTAGCGCTACTGGCTAATGTAGATAACAGATAATGGAAGCATATACCCACCAATTAGCACGGTGCTAACTGCCTCACTCACTCGCCTGTGTGCTCCCTGACACTGATGCTCCATGCTAACGGGTGGGGTATAAGCTTACTTGTTAGCTTCATTAGCCTCGTAGCTCCAGCGCTAAAACTAAAGAAGCAAACGTCAGAAATCAAAAACGTCTCAGCTGATCGACTCCATTTGGAGAGAAACTGTGTAAATCTTTTCTGAATGAGCTGCTACTTTAATCTGATTCATAAGAACAGAAAGTAAAATTCTCTAACAGAAACAGATCAGATTTAATAATCTGCGAAACGGAAGCATTCTCTCATCCTGCGGTGGATAAAAACGATCTAAAGCTGATCTGTTCTGCCCTACGAGCACTTTTCCTCTGAACATCGCTAGATCTTCTGAATAACGAGGGGGAACCGAAATACAACTGAGCTAACGCAGCTGCCGCTCAACTGACCAGCAGGCTCGGTTTGGCAGGTTCAGGCTGCAGTTTGGGGAGCTGCTGTTTAAGCAATAGAACCCGAGATGGAGTGTTTTATTGAGAAATAACATCACGGCTGTGATTCGGTCGCCGTAGATCATCACAGCCGTGATGTTATTGGCGATAACACACTCCTCGAGTGTTCTACTGCTTTAATACAACAGTTAAATAAATACAGTAATAAATTAATAAACTGGGCCGTGAACGCGGCGTTTAATATGTTTTAATGTTCGCAGTTCCTTCACCAAATTAGAGTTCCTTAACGAGCAGCTCGTTGCTACGTCAGAGTAACGAGCTCCGCCCACTCGCTGCTCAGCCGGCAGTTCGTTCTCCAGCTCCTTACACTAAATTCCCAAACTGTCATCACCACTGAGCAGCTTTTCAGTCGGCAGCTGTGACAGAAGAACAGCTAAACAACCTGGAATCAGCCAGAAATGAACCCAACACCATTCGCCAAACTAAATGGGCTGTAAGATGCTTTACAGACTGGCTGGAACAAAACAACATTAATACTGATCTGGCAAAAAAATGACAAAACTGAGCTGAACTTGATATTGCGGCAGTTTTATGGCTCAGTCTGATTTGGTCAGACTCTGAAGATCAGACTACGCGTTTGGCGAATGGTGTTGGGTTCATTTCTGGCTGATTCCAGGTTGTTCAGCTGTTCTTCTGTCACAGCTGCCGACTGAAAAGCTGCTCAGTGGTGAGACAGTTTGGGAATTTAGTGTCGTCTCATCTTCAGAGTCTGACCAAATCAGCTGTCGGTCAAATGTGATCTTAAGTGTCCATTTTCTGTTTGTGGCAAAGTAAGAAGTAAAAACGGTCAAATGCCTTGAGCGTCTCCTACAGCTGTCAGAGTCTCAGCGGAGTGATACAGTGTTTGTGAAAAACCTGTGGTGTTATGGTGAAATAACAGCATTGTTAGAACGCTTCTCAACCAATCAGCTTGCATGGCTGGAACTAACTGTTGTATAATGGATTATAACAGTGATGGAGTTTAATAACAGACTCACTTTCACACAGCGTCATTTCAGTGAGCAGCAGTGTTAGTCTGGGTTAGCATGTACAGAGCATCATTCATTTGACTGCTAAACGACCTCATAACCCAGAGGATCCAGTGAACCACACAAAACCAGCTATGGAGCATTGCTGTTCATCACAGGACGAGACGGGTGATTTTTCAGAACTCCATTAAAGTTTCTCACAGAGAGAACCAGACCAGATGTTCCATACAAAAGCATGACTCAGACTTCAGAACAGTCTATTAGCTAAACTACAGGGAGAGGCGACAGCGCTGAGCAGGACACACCTAAACCACCTAATCTGACCGTCCATCCTCTCCCACCTTTTAGCCTGAATCCCAAACAGACACACACCATCAGTCAGACGGACCTTCAGCTGAGTGAGTTCAGCTACTGTAAGGTCACTCTTTACTGACACAGCTTTTATCTCCATAGACAAGAACTGACCAATAGAATGCGACGCTCTGGATCAGCTGCACATGATCCTAAGGTCTCCATGTCCAGTGCCCAGTGTGGTCTAGAGGGGTATAAAGCCCCCCAGCATTGGGCTGTGGAGCAGTGGAACTGTGTTCTCTGGAGTGATGGAGCTCCATCCAGTACCTTTGGGATGAGTTGTAGTGACCCAGAACTGACCATCCAACATCAGTACCTGACCTCACTAATGCTCAATCAGATCCTCACAGCAATGTTCAACATCTAGTGTAAAGCCCTCCCAGAAGAGTAGAGGCTGTTACTGCAGCACAGACTCACTATTAACACCTTCATTTCAGAGGAAGCTCTGCAGTCGACACTCTGGACAGTGAGAATGTAAACGTGGGGTTACTATTTTTCTCTCTTTATTTTCCGTTTAAATCCTCTCTTTATTCTCCGTCTCCCTGTTTTAAACCTCCTCCCCCCCGCCGGTCTCTCCGCGGCTGGACACTCATCGATTTTCCCCTTTTTCTCTTACATAACCGCCCAACGTCTCTGGATCCTGACTCATCAGCACAGCCTGCTTCCTCCTTACTCACCTCGACACTCATTTATGAAAGAGAGCTCAGCTCCGCCGCGCTGCTCCTGCTCCAGCGGCTCCGCCTCCTCCTTCAGTTCATTAATGAAGTAACAGAACTGAGGAGCTGTGACTACATTCGGAAACATGGATGGGTATCAAAAAGCAACGTGCTGAGAAAACGAGTGTATTTCTCTGAAAAATAAACATTTTTACAAACTATGATTTTCCTGAGGAACCCATTCACTCTGGTTTTGCTCAGCAGCGCCCCTAGCAGGAATACATCTTATGCTCAATTGTTAAATACAGATAAAAATGGAGCTTCTGCCCACACTCTGGGTACATTTAGTCTGTATTTATGCAGGCTCTCTGAAAGCTTACAGATACAGATACGCAGTACCACCAGAAGCCTTGGGGGGGGGCAGTGTAGCCAATAGTTCAAGCGTGACATGATTGGTCTGCGTCCACAGCACTGCCTCTTTTGTCTCCCTCTGTAGTTGGTACTTTATAACGGCTCCTCCATCGTTGCCACGTTTGCTGTCAGAAGCGTTTGACGCTGCACTGCCCTCTAGTGGATGGACTGCTTAACATCCATGCCAATGTAAAAGACGGAAGTATGTGGGCAGTGACGGTTACACCAGCTATATCAAATGGACATATTTATTCTCATATTTAAAGGGAGCGTAAACAAGCCTTAGGTTTGTTTGTCAGCGTTAGCTCTCGAGAGACTCGCTTCGGAGCTCCATGTTGTGGATGTTTCAAAATTATTCAGACTGATTAGCTGCTGCCTCTGAAGTGAAGCTCACACTGTGATGGACACTCTACTGGTAAACTCCCTTTAAAGTACGTGCTGAAATTCTCACTCTCACAGTGTTCACTCCTCTTAAAACATGTAAGAGTTTGTCGATTCAGGAAATAATCTCTCACAGAAAGTCATCACACTAAACGGAAAAACGAAAACACTGCCTGAAGTCTGAGAAACTGTTTTACGATGGTTTTGAGAAGGTTTTGGTCTAAAACATACGTCCCCAACAAGTCCTGAAAGAAACTTATTTTACTGTTTTACCTTCGACATTACAGATTAACTATTTTACTATGAATCACTCTGAACGACTCTTTACATCATTTGCAGAAACAATCTGATTAATGAACACAAACAAAAATATAAGTACTGATCAGCTCTTACGCCACCTGATTAACACAATACCATCACAGTCTCAGTGAACACAGCAGTACTTTAGCAGCCTTCTGTCCAGCCTGCGGCAGCAACGAAGCAGATCTGAACACAACAGTACAAGTGAAGCGGCTCCACAAACTAAACATGTCAGCCAGTTTTACATGGAGAACCTTTGAGAAGGTTCTCCTTCACTTCACTGCCGGATGTGAATTCCAAGGAACACTGAAATGGACATTTAAGAAACAAACAGCAAGCAGCAAAGTTTATTTATATAGCACTTTTTACAACAGGTGTTGTCACAAAGCAGCTTTACAAGGAAATCAGCATTACAGAAAGAAATCCGGGTCTGAGCCCCCATGAGCGTCGCCAGAGGCGACAGTGGCAAGGAAAAACTCCCTAAGAGAAACAGGAAGAAACCTTGAGAGGAACCAAGACTCAGAAGGGGAACCCATCCTCCTCTGGTCGACACCGGATAGTAAACATTGTTAGTATAAAGTATTATAGTACAAAAACAGGGAAAACAGGTGGAGCAAACGATTAATTTGATTAGTTTAGTTCATGCAGCAGCAGCAGCGGCAGCAGCAGCATCAGTGGGGTCAGGTTGTGAGGATGAGGTTTACACGGTGAGCAGTGGCACCCGATCAAGGCAGAGAACAAACAGATGTTCTTGCTGTCTCAGTTATGCTGGTGCTGTGGATAGCTTTCTGTTAGCGGTCGGCTTTAGCCTGACAGTCGGCTTTAGCTTTCTCTCTAAGTTTCTCTGAGCAACAGAGAGAGGCCTTTGGGGAACATAGTTAGTTAAAGCTATGTGGGCGGGGCAAACCACATCAGCCCTGTGATTGGTGAGGATGCAGCTGTATAAACACTACAGCTACAATTCTTCAGCCATTCAGTGGATCTTACAAAGTTATTCTATACGTTGTACTTGAACACTGTGGCCCACAAGAGCAAAATAAACCCACACAAAGAAAATACAGATTTATTAAAGAACAGAAGAGACTGATTTTCTCTGGAGCTCTAAACCTCCCACTGTTTACTCATATCAGCACAACGACTTCTCACTGAGATATTTACATACAGTTTGTTTATAATGTGGATCTTCTGAAAGCCACAGTGCTGCTTTGCAGGTGGTTCGTGGTGAGATGTTGGTGGGTGTACCTTGGCTGATGGTGTGGTTTCCCGGGGGGCTGGTGGGTTCTCCTCTGCACCGCTCTCGCTGCTCTCGCTGTCAGATTCGGACCCCGAGCTGCTTTCCGAATCGCTAGAGCTGCCGGACTCACCTCCACTGGAGGGCGCCACCACGGCCGCGCTGCCGTCTTCAGGCACACTGAGAGAGACGGATCACCAACAGCTACATCAGATCCCAGTTAGTTCAAGTTTAAGAGGATTTACTGTCATTCGAGTTGTAGACCAGTTCACAGTGAAACAACAGTCCTCCAGGACCACAGAGCTATGAAGTTATACAGCTAATGTAGCTGACAAATAATGGAAGCTTATAGCTTAGCATTGTTACCTTAGCAACCAGTTAGCATCACTCAAACAGCAGTCCTATGGTGCACTGACACGGTTTTCTTTAGCTAAAAAACCTGGACGTGCTTCTTTAAGGTACGTTAACACGACAGCACTGAGAGAACGAGCTCTGAACTACAACTAAAAACTCAACACCGTCACCGTCCAGACAAACGGACGCGGTCAGCTATACTCACACTGGGTCTGGCCTGCAGGGGGACAGAGGGGCTCTGAGCGGAGAGT